ATTTCGCAGCTAAATATTTCAATGAATTAATACTGTAGCAAAGCACTTCTGTAACTTCATCTCTAGTAACTCTATTTCTGAATAAACTTTCTTGGACAGAGGCATGTCGCCAACAGTGCAGCAGTCAGATTTTCAAAACACCACCCTCATCCAGAGCTACAATGGTACCACCACTGGTTCCTTTCTGCCAACTTCCCTCCTGCAGATATTCCATAGGAATGAGAAATTAAAAGGACATTTTGATTTATAAGTGATTGGGTATTTTTTGTGGGGCACTACTGTATAGTATGCATTTTAGCAGCCACTCATATTGGCATCATAAAATTATTTCCTTTCACAAATAAGTTTTGTGCTCGAGGCAGTATATTTTTATGTAACTCCTGAAGAATACTGTCATACAAACATGTTCCCCATGGGCTTGCGATCATTAGAAAAGTCACTGGATTTGCTTCATGTAACTAGGAGTTTCGGTGCTTGCCTCAGAACTGCTTGTCCACTACTGTTACAACAGCACCACCCAAAGCCAACGTTACTTTCCATAATCCATTTATTCTGAAAGAAGTGACGAGAAGCTTACGTCTAGAACTTACTTGCTTTGTTGAAGAATAGGATCAAGACCCAGTCACCGTTCTTTTTGCCCGTGTTCTGAACACCATCTAGAGATGAGGAGGCGTCAGTCCTCTTTCTCCCACACACATCTCTCTGCTGGCTTTTGACCTAGGTGTCCACCAGCTGTGTTTAGCTTACTGGGTTCCCAGGTAAATGAAAAGAAGCTGGCTTTGGATTTATATGTAAATTATCACGGTGTACCCATGGCTTAAAAGAAAGCACAAGGTAAAGGTTTAAATTAATTTGCAGACAGCTATCTTCTTTTTCCCTGCTTTCTTAAGGCTCTTAGAGGATTTGTGCAGAAACTCTGGAGTTGGAGCGCTGGTGTTCCCTTAGTCTTGTGTTTCTGTCCACAGTTACTTATACACGTAATTGTTGTCATTTTCGAGTGATGAAAACTTCTTCCTCACTATATTGCTGCTCATGTCTTCTGTTCCATCCTTCCTGCTTGCTACTAATTCATTTAGCAAACCAGCGTCTTTTAGCGGGGGTGGGGGAAGCATATGCCGCTCTGTGCCATCAGGTTTTATTGCCTCTCCTTGCCAACACAAGGTTCATAATTAGAGTAATAATTACCTTTTCAGGGCACTGCCTCAGACATCTCATTTCCTTTCATAACTCAAGAACAGCCTTTTTTCTCCCAGCAGGTGTGAGATATTACCTTAAACTTTTGGCATCTTATTAGAATCATCTCATTACTTGACTGGTCTCCACGCTTGCTTTCTTCTCGGTGTACTCTGTGACTGGACAATCCCTGACATCTAGAAGATACTTAATGATTGAATGAAGCCAATTTGTCAATCCAGAGAGATGAGTATCATATACTATGTATCCAACTCAGACAGTTGAGTCTAGGTGTCATGGGCCTGATCGATGCTAAATTATGAGTTAGTAAAATCTACTTAATCCCAATGTTACTTGAGATGTCAAATATATTTGATAAATGCTTGAAAAAGTCATTTTGTTTTTAAATGTATATCTATATTGTCTATTTTGTTTTGTAAATGAAGTTTGATTCTAGAAACTGGAGTTTACAATATAAAATATAAACTATCTTTTCTACGTCATAAAAGCATGCTAACTCTGAACATGAGCCATACCTAGACAAAAATGCATATTAGAGGCATAGTTTTATATACTTATTCTTTTTAAGTCTACAATACCCTGCCAAAGGATCATTTGTGTATGCCTGTGCTACTTATTTTAAGAGTTTTTTCTAAAGTCCGCAATTATTATGAAACTCACATTTTCCAGTATTTTACAGCTTTATCTGTCTTGTTTAGCACACCCTAAAGCAGTTATGTAGCTTTTTTTAATATGCTAATTTTATCTTGTGCAGCCTGCCTTGACAGCATACCTTTTTATTGATTAAAATTCCAAATCTATGTTGAGGACTAGAATTTAATAATATAAATATGTTAACTAAGATAAAAGAACATTAAAAAGTATTTAACATTATTATGCAAATGTATTGAAGCATTATAAACTTAACATTTGGTCCGCCATTACATCAGCTTGGCCCTGGTTATTGTGGTTTAAGAAGACTGTATTTAGATGCTGACTCAAAACAAGACATTATTTTTAGATATCTCCACTCTCTCTCCCCCTTTCTATTCCCAAGTGTCCAAATTTAGGTGCACAAAACACAGAATTCCAACCTTACAGCCAACATGAAAGATTCCTATCTTCCCTAGTTTTCAATAATTATTTATACTTTTGTAACTATATATTCCACTAATGTAACAATGGAGCCTGAAGCTTTAGCTATACTCATATACTCTGAGAAGCTTTAAAACTTTTACTTTTGGGAATAAAACTAAAAAGATGAAATACAGAGCTATTTCTCAGTGTAGTGGAACAAAATAAAATTATCCTCTCTTAAAATAAATGACAGTCAGGGAAAGCAATTTTTTCCTGTCATGGGTGAAAGCTAGGGAACACAAAATCAGCATTTAAAATGTTAACTCAGTGTTTTAAATAAAAAGCTAAAATGCATTGTACATTATCTGTTCCCAGAGATGATTGCAGATTCGTGTTATTAAGTCCTGCAAAAAAAAAATACATAATGTACTTGACAGATGGAACTATAAAAACTAGAGATGGAAAAAAGACATATTAGGTCATGTTTTAAAGTTTTCTTTTTTGAGGAGCCTCCATTTTGCATTACTTAGTTTAATCAACTCAGCCATCTTGAGTCCATGTTCACAGGCATGCAAAAGAACATAAATCTTTGATATTTGAAGCAATGATGAAGATTAAAAGTCCCTAAACCTCTGCAGTTTTATCTCATTAATCTGTAAAGTTCTAGTGGGAAAATCGTGGATTAGGAATCAAAGTTTCCTCCTAAGCCCATCATTGACACTTCATAGCCTTCTACCTGAGCAAGTCACTTAATTTTTCTGAGCTTCTGGTTCTTCATTTGTAAAACAAAATTTCAAATGCCTGCTTTATCTAAATCATGGTGCTGAGGATGAAAGGAGTCAAAATAGGCTTAATATACTGTCTGTTTTACAAGTTCCAGGTAGGTCCAGTTATAATTCCCATATTGCAGATAAGGAAAGGATGAGAGAGGCTAATAAGTTTGTTGTTGAAGGTCACACAGCTAGTAAGTGAGAGACCGAAATCTAAAATCCTATGTCAAAATTCCAGCGTTTTTCAGCATTGGCATTATTGACATTAGGGGACTGATAATTCTTTGTGTGTGTGTTTGTCCTGTGTAGCATCCTAACCTCTATCCCCTAGGTGGCAATAGCGTCTCCCAAGTTGTAACAACCAGAAATCTCTCCAGACCTTGCCAAATGTCGCCTGGCAAGCAAAATCTCCCCAAGCTGAGAACCAGTAGTCTGTATGATTCCAGCGCTAAAGTTCTAAGCCACTTTATGAAAATATTTATCGGTGTCATTGTTATTCTGAGTGGTTCCTGGTTGGGATACTCCATTACATAGCAATTTTCAGAATTAAAAAAGAGATAATTGGTTTTCATCTGTTGTCTTCCTTTCTGAATATTAGCAGTGACATTGTCTTCTTTGGAAGATCCCTGTAAACTTCTTGTAGAAGCTGTCACTTGACAGGGACACTGTCGAAAGTGAGCCAGAAGTCAGACTCAACAGCCCCTAAATTCCCTCCCCCTGTAATTCTGTGACCATCCCTAATGGCCCAGCTGGTCTCTCTTGAACAGTCCCTTCTCATCTGAAATATTTATGGGCTTCTGATATCTGTTACCGTCTCAGAGGCAAAGGAGAGACACAAGTATTTTCATAACCATTATCTCATTTAATCATCACAACAAGCCCTTGAGATCTGTATCAATTTTCCGTGTTTACATTTTGTTTAGGCATCTTAACCTTTCTTCTTTGCCTGCTCCTTCAGCTTTGGTGTTCTCATTGCAGAACTTGATATAGAAACTCAGCAGGAAGTTGATATGGAAACTCAGCAGGTACCTTTCTCACCAGCACTGTATGAAGAGTAACATCTTTCTGAATTACTCAACATAAAGCAGATGTTTTCTGGCCTGCATGATTCTTCCTTTTTCCTGTCCCCATAACAGGGTTCCAAAAATACATGCCTCCTTTGGCTGCATTTGGGGACTTAAGAACAAACTGCCCAAGAGTAGAATGCTTTTAATTCTGTTGCTCATTCTTTGTCCCAAAAAAAGCGTAGGATGACCTTCTTCACCCTCCCACACTTCTCCATCATTTATCTCTATCTACATCCCACTCTCTTCTTGATATTGGCACAGTCCCCAATTACCACCTCTCAACTAAAGCTTTCTTAACATTTATGATCGACTTTATTATGTCTGCCTTTCTGTTCTTCAAAACTATTGGCAAATTAGATGCATTTGATCGGGGTCTTATTAAATAGTCTGAAAATGTTTTGTACCTGTATGAATTAACATTTTTTAAGACACCGAGTTTTAAGATTAATTGCTGCTGACAAGCACAATAAATATAATTGAGTGTGATTAAAAGCATTAGCGTGACCTGAGGAGAGGCTGGTGTAATTACCGACAGCGATAAGGAACCGTAATTGCCCACGAATCTTTAAAACGCAGAACTCGGCTTCCAGAAGGTCCAAACAGCTGTTTGAACCAATGGGAAAGAGAACTGAATTATTTCCCAGCAACACAACTTAGGGCCTCTTAAAACTTTATTTTTTTCTTTCTTTTAAGTGCATGTGAATCATTTTAATTACTCTATCGTTTCTTGAAAAAGGACTAATTGGCTCCTGCCGTAAACTGGCAGTGTCTGGCCAGACTGAGTCATTTTTTTTCCTTTTAGATCAGTGCGCATTCTTATTGACCAGACTTACTTGATTCTGATTTGACATGCATTCAGCCATTTCATCATGTTATATAAGTAAAGCATTGTGGGGTTTTCTTCCTTTCCCAGGTGGCCTTTTTGAAGATGTAACTGTGGGAGCCGAAGCATTTCTGTCTGCAGCGTGCAGCGCACTGGAGGTTGGCAGTTGGCCCAGTGGCCAGTGATTATAGAGACTAGAACCAGAGCTACAGAATGAGAGCACAGCATTGAAGTTTTGAGTTACTTGTTTGCATATATTCTCTAAGAGAAGAGTTAACTTTAAATCTTCGAAAAACCAAGGCTGCGAAGAAAGTCACGGTAACAAGTTCAGGTAGGTGTAGACGTTACATCTCTGTTTCCCACAGAGAGGACTGTTCACCTGTGTCAGCACCTCCTGGAAGGATGTTAGGTGGTGGAGACCCATCTGTCCTGCGTGGAATGAATGCAGTGAGGGACTTCCACTGGTGAAACTGAATATTAACTGCTGTAAATCCTAGGAAATATACTCTCAAAGGACTTCTCAGGCTCATTTAAAACAAATGTTAAAAAAGAAAATAGAGAATTTTGTATACTTTATTCAGAGGAGAGGCTCGGTAACTAAATATTTGTTGAATAAGCGATTTATCAAATTAAAGGTTTTCCCATTTGTGTAAACCTGCATGTATTCCTTTTGTTCTTTATTTCCTTTTCCAGATACTATGGTAAATCAATCAGTATACCTCCCTGGAATCGTGGTATTGAGTTATCATAATCCTTGTGTGCCAAAGCAAGTGGCGAGGAAACCATGGACTGAGAATGATAGCGCTAGAGGGAATCCGACAGAGCACAGGCCAGCTCCTGACTTGACAGAAAGGTTTAAGACTTGCCTGTGATCACACAGTCGGAGCAAAGCTGGGACTTGGAGACCCTCCTTTCCCACTCCACATTCAATAGGATGCCCTTTGGATTTGCAACTATACGTGCTGATTCTCAAGCCTGTTGGCGCTAATCCTAGGCTACAGGCCACCAGTACCTCTTTATTCAAAAAACCCTGAGTTTTCTGTCCTCTAAGTTTCTAACTTAACAAGGTATCAGTGGCATTGTGATTCGGTGAACATGTCATGGTTTCTTCCTTGTAGTTGAACCAAAACTTGTGCCTAATCAGCAAGGCAGTGGTGTCACACATCTCATTCTGTAGCTGGTGGACGGACATAGGAATACCATCCATCTGTTTCACCCTGCAGAGTCATTTTATTAAGCACAGTTTGAAACAGTCAAGTTCTTAGTAATATGTCCAAGATTCACAGCCATAAAGGAGAATTAGTTTGGCTTCACTTAAACTACTAAACTCCCAAAACACCATGCTGACCTTCAATGCTTTAGATTTCTATCTGTCGGTACAGAGCAGATATTTTCAACCTTGGCTCTATTTACATTTTGGGCCAGATTATTCTATGTTGTGGGAGACGACGGTCCTGTGCTGTTAGGAAAAAAACAAATCTTTTACCCTACACCCTCCTAGGTTCAGTGGCTGGGGCTTACAAATCAAACTCATAAAGCACATTATCAACAACAAAAAAAGTTTAATTACTTTTAAATAATATATCCACACAGGAGTTTCACAAAGACATGAGACTCTAGGAAGTGGTCAGATGATTGAGGTTAATATACCATCTTAGGCTAAACAAAGAAAAGGGAGGTTTGGGCTTCTGGGCTGGGAGATACAAGTTGTAAGAGGATAAAGGGAAGAAATGTGTGGTTCATGGGGGTTGTCTTGTTATGCAGATAAGAGTTTCTCAGATAATGATAAGAGTTGTCTCTAGGAGTAGCTCTCTTCCTGGTACAGAGACATCTTACAAATGGAAATTCTTTTATAAATGTAAATTTCCCTTACAAAAGAGGCAATTTATATTTTTAGACTGTTAAGGGAAAGTGAAAAACTTTTCCTGCCTTTGCTGGTTTTCAATCATCATTCGCTCAAAATAATTCTGATGCCAAAGTGGCAGGTTTTGGGGTGACATTCTGGTCCCCTTCAGTGCATTGGAGGAATTTCAGCAGCAGCCCACCAGATGCCAGTAGCCCCCTCCCTAAGGTGTGACAACCAATAATCTCTGCAGACATTGCCCTGATTGCCAAAAGCAACCCCAGTTAAGAACCACTGCTATAGTGAATGTGTCTAAAAACAAGATTTGGTAACTGATGGGGTTCAGGGAAAGTTACCCCAAAATATGCCATTTTGGCATGTTGATTATTTGAATTAAAGTTACTTAAGAAACAGCCAATGCAAGGTGGACACTCGGACCCTCCTTTGTCCCCCAGGAATAAATCTTCCATGTGAAAGGTACCCTGTCTGTACCAGGCAATAGAGAGACATCCTTATCACCAGAAAGAGTGAATTCTGGGCTGAAAAGTCTGCATAAACAAACCTTGTTACTTTTCTAATTTACTATCCCAAGCCCAAACCTCTTTGTCTTGTCAATTCTTCACAAATATGTTGTTTCTTTGTCTAAAAGGCATAAAAGCTGTGTGATTTGGTGACTTCTTCCAGTCTCATATTTCTATGAGCTCCTGTACATAAAAAATTAATTTTTTTTCTCTTGTTAATGTCTTATGTCATTTTAATTATTAGGCCGGGCAAAGAACCTAGTTGGGAAGAAAGAAAACGTTTTCCTCCCCTACAACTGCCTAGAGTTGTGTATTGCCAATGACACGGCCATTACAAAATCTGAGACCTTTTCTGGCTTGTGATCAGGACTTAGTATACTACTGTTTTCACAAATGAATGCTGATGAATACCTTTGTGTGTGAATATTTCTGAAGAGTTCAGTTTGTATTGGTCTCATGTTGGAGAGTGGAATAAATGAGATGAAGCAGACTTCAGCCTGTACATAAAATAGAATTTTCTTCTGAGATAGTTTTTCTCCCTCTGGAAAAGAAAGAAGTTGTTATACTAATATTTGCTTACAGTTTAGGTTGAAGGTGCTCATGATCCAAAAGATAACTCTACCACTCAACTCAACTAGAAGAATATCCTGATTTACTAACCTTGTCTCTCTAAGTAAAATCAAGTTGAGTCAAATGCGGGTAGACCCCTTTAGCTCTGTCTGGAGTCGTAGGAGGAACAAACCAATGAGAGCTGAGCCCGCCTTCGTTCTGACGGCACAGGTCCGGAGCGCTAATGGAGCGGCTATGAGAAGCTCCGAGGGAGGTGCAGGAGTCAGAAGAGCTCACATACGTGACAGACTTCTGACGACAGAATGCAGCTACCATGGGTGAAGCTGTATCTGTCATGCAACTTAGAATCTTGTCATGGTGACGTTCTCAAGCTCAGCAGGTCTCCATTGGTTCTCCCAGGGATGCGGAGGGAGGGCCAGCACAGCTGAGGCCGGGCCCAGAGTGAGCTGTGAACATCTAGACACTGGGTTGGGAGGTGAGAGGAGGATAAAATGCCTAAACCTGTGAGCGTTTACTTCATGGCCACAGGGAGTAGGAAAAGAAGGGACGTGGGAGCCTTTCTATCTATCTTCGCTTTGCCTACATAAAGAGACAATTGCCGAGAGGGATTATTAAATCATTTAAATATGGTTCTGCGCATTTATTTTCACTTAGTATAATTGTCGTACGTAGATCCTATTGAAAACTTCTATTGACCATCCATTTTGGCAAACCAATGTCTTAAGTTTATTTCATGTATATTTATTGAACACCTACTACATGCCAGGCATGGCTATGGGTACTGCAGATAGAATCAGTAAAACAAAATACCTGCCCTCATGGAGCTTACATTCTTATGGGGCGGGGCAGTAAAAAAAAAAGAAATACTGTATTTTGTTATAAAATATTATGTTATATCATAAAATAATATAGTTTCTAAAAAGAATAAGTACAATAATGAAAAGCTGGATAAAGGAAAGTGTACTGTTTCAGATAAGGATGTCTAAATTGAGATTAAAGTATACTTTTGGTACCATACATGAACACAGTTTTTCAGCTCCATCAAGAGTAACTGTGGAGATACATTATTAAATGTCAACGGATTGCGTACAAACCACAACCTTATATCATTTTGCACATATCAGTGTTAGCACCAATATCAGCAAAGCTTAATTCAGTTGATTACAGAAAATTCTACTAGAACCAGGCACTCAGATTCAGCCCCTATAGTAAAAAGAGATGAAAAGGTTAAATGGTCCTGTATGATAAATAAAGCCAGCCTAATTGTTGTCCCAGAACATTTGTTCTTGTTCTTAGAGTATAACAAAGACTAATTCGGACCCAGTTCTCAATGTAATTCAGAAATGTAGGGATGACTGGTACATCTTTGTCTGTAGTTAGAAAAGCATTAACATTTATCTGACACATCAGAGGGGTGGTTCCCACTAATTGCTTATCTAAGAATTATACACATTCTTAAATAATCTTAAATACTCAAGCACACTCAGCGTGACTTAACAATTTTTCTTTGTTTGCCTCCTGAGAGGTGCTTTAAGCTTCATCTACTGAACCAGAGTTCATCATTATTCCTTAATCTGGGGGGGAAAGTGGAAAGGAGTTACCTGGACATTAAGTGTTTTTAAGAGGTTAAGTTCTCTGGTTCTAAGAGGAAAAAAAAACAAAAACAAACAGAAACGCTAGCTCTAAACAAAAATTTTTAAAAGCATCCATCCTGTACTGCTATTCTTTTAAAACTAGGGCTCCATTTTCATTCAGAAATAGACTAAGCCAATTTGTTTTCAATCCTGTCATAGATCAATTAAGAAGCATATTTTCAGGGCCCCACATCTATTCCAGGGCCCTTTGGCTACAAGGTGCTGTGAAGCAGAGTGCAGGATTTGCGTCTTAGTTCTGCCGCCTCGTAGACCCACCTGTAATTTGCCACAGCCTTTCTGGTCAGAATGGGGACTACTGATAAGACTATTGTGTTTTCATTATTCATCTTTCTCCCCTACCATCCACCCCCTGATTAGTTTCTTTCTATAAATCTTTTAATATTTTTCTGTGCTCTCTTAACATTGCATGGATTAAAACTTGTTCCTCTGAGTTTGTTACTTGTTTTGAAGGAAAAAATTTAGGATTTTTATTGCCTTATTTGTTTATACACACTCTATTAGCATATTGGGTGCAAATTTCAATACGTCTACCAAAAGACCCAAATCAGGAATACCATAAGTCAGTGACTTAATTTAATAAAACAGTCAGAGCAGTAGATTGCCTATTTGGAAGCCTATTGGGAGTTTCTGGCTGAAACTTTCCTAAACTTAAGAAAAATAGGACTTGTTACCATTTGTCCAAAACACTTCCAGGTCTGAGGAGGCCAGAGCAGGCTTTCTGTAGACTTAAGCTGGGGAAGGAATTGCAGAAACAAAGCACTTTATAAGTACCCGCAAAATAATGGAATCTCTTTTACTTCACCGGTTCTTAGGAAACCAGTGCTTGGGAACAGGAAGCAGATTTCTCTGACCCGCTCCTCCCCTTACATTTCGCACCCCTGTCCTCATCCGTCCCTAGGCAATACCATTTCGAGGAAAATGAGTCAGAAGTGCCAGCCATGGTTACGTCCTGCACTCCCTTTCAGAATCAAGAATCAAGACTTAAGAGTTGGTAACTCGTGTGGCCTCTTTACTTGATACTTTCTCCCCATAGGATGGTGACTATCAAGATTAACCATCATTAGTTTTATGTTCCATAGTGTATATTAGACTCAAAAAGTAAAGCACCCATTTCTACTTTCTGAAAAAATTATTCAGTTACATTTCCTCCCCCCACAAATATTCTGAGTAATAAACTCAAGAAAGGGTACTGTAAATTCTCTCGATTGTTCATGTGACTATAAAGTTTAATGTAAATGTGAAGAAAGAATTCTTGAAATAAGGTTCATAAAGTAACAAAGGAATTGAAATAAAAGCCCACGTTTTATCCAACAGAATCTGAGAAGTAATATCAAGAAGAGAAAAATTGGCTGAGGTTCTTCTCCTCATCAAGCACAGGCAGAAGATGTTGTTTTATTGTTGATATTAAGAGAGAAATAAGTTGAAATATATATATATATATATATATATATATATATATATTTTTTTTTAAATCTAAAGAAATCACCAATAAATTGTAAATGTATGTGTTAGAAATCGCTAGAGGAAACAAAGAAAACTTGATCAATAAAACACATTTCCTGTGTATCTTTTCAGCCCTGTGATAATTGTTCAAGGCAGTTTTAGAAGAGCCTGTTTCAATACTTGTGTTTATTTGTTTCTCTGCTTTAGCCTATTGAGCCAAGGGTGTTTTCCAAATAAAGGCTGCTGCCTGTGGAACACTTGGTGGTTGTATTCCTTGCAAAGCCCATAAAGTGTTTCTGAAATGTATATTGTCATTTGACCTTGTTTTTAATGGAATTAAAATTTAGAATGGAGGTGAGAAAAAAACACATGAGAAGAGAACCCTACAAACCACTGATATGGACCCTGATGGCTGGCTGTAGGAGTCCTAAGAGATCCCTTCCAATGAATGTGGTCAGAGAAGATATCCTTGTTCGCATGAGGCAGGATTTGGTGTGGACTTTAAGTGATAGTCATGCTTTGGAAAGACAGGAAGACAGGCATTTAGGAAGAACAGCATTTCAAAATGGGAAGAACATTTTGCTAGACTGGAGGAATTGAGACAGGGCAGTGAATAAGATAAGAAAGAGTTCTCATTAGATTGTGGAAGTCACATGATACCAAAGAACCTTGTCCTTCTTGTTGACTTCTCAGAGGTCAAGCACAAAAATGAAGAGAAAGCACATTTTTCTTTTGTGCCCCCGAAGTCTTCTTGAGCTCTAGGATTTAGATGCAGTGGTTAAGAGTGAGAGGTTCCTAGAGTCAGACTACCTGGGTTGAAATGTCAGCTGTGTAGACTTGAGCTACTTCCTTAATCTCATGTTTAAAATGAGGGGGTAAAAATAATGTCTGTCTCATAGAGGTTTTTAAGTATTACATGGCTTAATGCATGCAGAGTATGGAGAACAATGCCTGGGACACGGTGCGCGATACATCTTAGCTATAGTTGTTCTATGAATTTGCTGCTTCCCCACCACTCCTCTTCCCATCGCCCATGAAATTTACTGTCTGAAATTTGAAGCACAAGAATGACATGATGAAAGTGATGCATTAGAAAAATTAACCTGGTGGCAGAGCGCAAGGTAGACTGAGAAGAAGCGAGGATGATCTGTTGTTGCAAAACAAGGAGAGACTTTCTAGTTCCCCAAAACGGTCAAAGAATGTCTTGGCCAAATAACTTTGTCCGTGTTTTTTCCTATTCCACTTTTAATTATTTTTGAAGGCCATTAAAAGTAAAATAGGATACATACTTTTCCATTTGCTGTCAGCTTTGATCTAACATGGGGCAGGATAACCCATTCTAAGCATTTTCACATAGACCTTTTAAAATGACTTGTTCTTCAGAGTCCTGTCTTGAGAGCAGAAAAGTCTTTTGCAAAAATCATTAAATGAGGAAAGGAATGCATCCCAGAAGTTTCTGACCAGGCATCTTACAGGAATGCCCTCTGGACTAAAGTTCAATTTACCTCTTTTTCCATTTCCAAAAGTACCGGAAATACTTTTTGTTCGTTGTCACTGGTTCTCAGGAGAACAAGACAGAGTCTACATGGTAAACAAACCCTATTCCCTTATATTCTTAATTCTCTTGTGTATTTTTTCCCCTCTCTTATGTTCAGAATTATGCTGTGGACTCACAGCCATGTAAAATATGAGTGGTTGACCAGAAATAGCATAGATGGGAAAGAAGTTGTTGAATATGTTACTAAATTTCAGGTAAGTGATCACTTTTCTTCTTAGAGAATAATTCAGCTTATTTTTTAAGTGAATTAGCACCTAACGTATGAGTAACCTATGTTTATATAGTCTAGGTAATCCACTGCAGCATAAGGAAGTAGACAAATGGGCCAGATGAGCGGGAATACACCGCATTTCTCTGGTTCTTATCCTCACCTATTGTTGGAATTCCTGCAGCTCCCTGCAAAATACTCTAATTATATCTAGAGTGCCCTAGTCTATCATCTACCCCATGACATCTGCCATTTTTTACCTTTTTTATCCAGCATCATTTGGTGCTAGTGATCTCCACTGCTAAGGTGTCCACAGCCGGGCTGTTCTGTGTGAAGTGTGCTGCCTCTGCTTCCTGGATACCACCAATGGAGCAAAAGGGTTCAATCGTCTCAGAAACTTGGATAAAGATGCTGAAGTTCCACTGTGCTGTGCAGGGTGCAGAAGTAGGGAGAACGTCGATTCTTTTCGTTTGGTGTTACACTTGTGACTTGGATCCCAAAGCAGTGTCTTCCTGCACTCCAGTGTCTATTATTATGGAGTTTTTAGTAAAACTTCTTTATCGATTTTTAAAATTTGAAACCCCCATCACAGCCCAGTGATT